GTCCTGAAGAGGCCATGGCTGCTCTTGGCTCTCATTCCTCACTTCCCAAGTGGAGTGGCCCTTGTCAGCGTCACTGTTGGAAACCAGGGCCCTGTGGCCCTTGCCCTCCATCCCTGTTTTTCTCTTGTATGGAGCTCTTGCCTAAGTAGGTGGCTCTGATCAAAGGCTAAGCCCTTAACTGTGGGCAGCTGCTAGGTGTGCAGGTGCGGGCTGGGTAACAGGCTCCAGGACGGGAGTGGGTGCGGGCAGTGGTTTGGGGCTGTCAGGTCCCAGCATGGCTGCAGCCCTCCTGCTTGTCGTCTGGCCTGCACCACTTGGAGTTCTTCTGGCAGGCGTCTGAAGCTGGCTGAATTTGACTATGGGAAGAAGTGCTCCGAGGTTGCCCAGCTAACAGAGGGCATGTCAGGCCGTGAGATTGCCCAGCTGGCTGTGGCGTGGCAGGTGAGTCCAAGGCCTGTCACAGGGCCAGGTAAGGGAGTTGGGCGCCCTGCCTGTCCTGGTCCCGATCCCAGAGGCTGTGGGCCCCGTGAGCGTGTGCCAGTTGCCGAGGGCATGTGCTCTGCTCTTTGGGAGCCGTCGCCCAGCCGTGTGGGAGCGCACTGTAGCACTGATGGCCTGGGTGTCTGTGTCCCTGGATAGGTGAGGCCACCTAACCCTCAGCGTGCTAAGGCGGAAGGCCAGGCCGGCCTCTTGTTCCCCAAACCTGCTTTTCCTCCAAAGCACCCAGGACAGGAGCTGGCCTGAAGGAGGCCTAGGTGTTCTGGCAGGCTTCGTTTTTGTGAGGTGGGGTCTGTGACCACACCCTTGAGTGTGGCTTGCTGTGGCTTAGCCACAGAGACTGAACAGAGCCTACCAGAGTGGGACTTGACTGGGTGACTACTTGGGTTTGAATGCTGCGGGCCAGGAGTGTGCACAGCTCGGCCTGCATGAGCTGCCATCAGCCCCGTCCTCGGTGCCAGCTGAGGACTCTGCTGTGTCCGCAAGGGACAGTGCAGAGAGCAAGGAGCATGACAGATTGTACATGGCTTCTCACAGCACTGAAAGTACCTGGCTGGTGTGGGATTCTCCTTCCAGGCTTGGATCTTAAGGCATGCTCTTGGGTGGGACTCCCACATCTGGGTGTCTTTTTTTTTTTTCTGGAACCAGGGATTGAACTCAGGCCCTTGCGCTTGCCAGGCAAGCGCTCATTCTTATTCTACTGAGCCACCTCCCCGGCTCTGGGTGTCACTGCTGCTGAAGTCCCTGACTGGGGACACTTCTGAGGTGTGGGGCTTCAGTGTGCTAGGAGTCCGGCCCACAGTCATGCAGCCACTGCCACAGAGCTGGGGCTGTGCCCTCTCCCCAGTGACAGCCAGTCCTGCTTTGATCTGTGCTCTGGCCCCAAGGGTTAGAGCACAGTACCCTTCCTGCCCCCAGGTGGGTGGCAGCTGCCACCCCGGCAGCCTGTCTGTGTCCAGGTGGGAGTGCAGGGCTGCACGGCCCAGCAGCTGTGCTGTTGACCAGCCCGCCCCACACGCAGCTCTGCCGGCCAGCACCCTCCTGTCTGTGGTTCCAGGTGCTTTGACCTGCATCTCGCAGGGGAGGCTCGTCTACCCCACACTCACGCTCGCCCTGCACACCCCACCTCACCCTCAGCCTCTTCTCCTGGCCAAGTTGCTGTGCTGCATCTTCAGTCCTTTTATTCTCTGTTGAGATAGGCTGGGTCTTGCTAAGTTGCTCAGGTGGGCCTCGAACTTGTGATTCTTCTGTTTCAGCCTCCTGAATAGCTGGGATTATGGGTGTGCGCCCTTCCACACAGCTTTTTCTTTGCCCCGGTATTGGGGATGGAACCCAAGGACACTGTGCTGAGCTACATTTCCATCCTGTTTTTTCTTTAAACTCTGAGACACTGTCTTGCTAAATTGACTGGATAGGACTCCGACTTGTGGTCTTGCTTCAGCCTTCCAAGTACTGAGATTACAGGACGGACTACCAGCTCATCCTGCCCAGCCTCACGAGCTTGTTTATTCTGTGGTGCTGGGGTTCGAACTCAGGGCCTTGCACATGCTATAGGGCACATGTTGCACGTGTCAGCTCGGTGTCTGGATCTTCGAACATGGAGTCAGGATGCTTTTGTTGAGACGGGGTCGCGCTGTATAATCCAGGCTGGCCTTGTACACCCTGTGCAGCCCATTCCAGCCTCGAACGTGGGGCAGCCTTCCACCTGAACCTCCTGAGTGCTTGGATTACAGGCGTGCCCCATGATACTTGGCTGGCCCAGCAGTTCATGCGTGCACACCCTGCCTCTGAGAGCAGTTCTCGTGCTGTTCCTTTTCCACCTCTCGCTGAGCTCTTGGCAAGGTGTGGGCCTGGGCTGTGCTGTGGCAGAGCAGCTCCCTGGCTGGCAGCTGACCTGGGAGGGGTGTGGCCCACAGCCCTGGCGTCACCCAGGTAGCTCCCTCCCATTCTGTCCCAGCAAGAAAAGCTGTAGTTTCATCCGCAGCCTCCCCTGGTCACTGGCCTGCTTCGCTGGTGCACATGCAGGTCCTTGCCGCCCTGTATGGCTGCTCGCTTTGCAGCTGGTGTAAGGGCTGCTGATCTCTGGTTTCTTGGGGCATCTTTGGCACCAGGTGGAATGAGTTAGGGAGTATCTTCGTCTTTGGCTCTTGGGAAGAGTTTGAGGATTGTGCTAATTCTGCCTGAAACTCATCAGTTATAGAAGTGTCAGGCTCTGGGCTGACATTTATTTTAATGTGTTTTGAGCTGTGTTCAGATTGCCCTTGAGCACACTCTAGCATGGGCTGGCCTCAAACTTGTGATCCTTCTGCCTCAGCCTCCCAAGTGCTGGGGTTACAGGTGTGTAACCTCAGTGAACCTTTTTTTTTTTTTTTGGTGGAACTGGGAATTGAACTCAGGCCTCTGTGCTTGCCAGACAAGCGCAAACCTTAATTTTTTTTAAATTTTATTTATTTATTTATTTATTTATTTATTTATTTATTTATTAGTGTGTGTGTGTGTCCAGCTCAGCCCACCAGGGGGCGGGGCTGGCTGGCATGTGGTGCTGGGGGATTGAACCGCGGTCCCTGTGCTTTGCTAAGCTTGTTCTGTTCTAAGTAGGTGCTTTAGACCACTGAGCCATCTCACCAGCCCAAATAAGCATTTTTTTTTTTTTGGCAGTACTGGGGATTGAACTCAAGACCCTGTGCTTGCCAGGCAAGCACTTATTCTACTGAGCTATCTCCCAGCCCTACGAACCTTAATTTTTAAATTTAGATTCAAGCAAAAAATGGCAGCCCAGTGTGGTGGCACACACCTATAGTCCCAGCCCTGAGGAGGCTGAGGCAGGAGGATTGTTTTACGTTCCAGACCAGCCTGGGCTACAAAGTGAACTCAAGGTCAATCTGAACTGCATATCGAGACCCTGTCTCAAAAAGACAACACAAAGTGGCTAGGCTGGTGCGGAGGGCACAGGTACTTCCAAGCCCTGCCCAGTCACAGGTGTGTGTGTCTCACAGAGGTGTCCTGTCACCGGGAGGCTATCTCCTGCTGGCCTTATTCAGCTGCTGTCCAGGATAACCTGCCACTGCCACCCTGGCCACCTCCAGCCCTGTGCCCAGCTTCTCCCTGGGCTGCTATTGGCCACAGTGTTGGGTCCATGCCCCAGTGCTGGAGCCAGGTAGTGGACACTGCCTTCTGGGCCCCTGCTCACAGGGGTTGGCACACATAGTCCTCACTGTAGACGGTGATGGGGTGGCTGTCACAGAGGCTGCCCTGTGCGATCTCTGGGCCACCCCCTCCCCTGCCCAGGGCCTGTAGTCCTCCCTGCATCCACAAGTCACCTGACCTACACAGGTATTGGTGGGCAGATTCTGAGTGCTGAGGAAGCCCAAGGCAGGGCCAGAGTGGCACTGGGCATCTTGGAGATGGCACCCTGACTGTAGCTAACTCTGGTCTGAGCAGCAGAAGCTCAGTGGCGCCTGGGCACAGACTTGCCATGTGGCCAGTGCCCTCCTGCCCCTGGAGTTGCCCGGCTGCCCATGTGTGCTGGGCAGGAAGCCCAGCCTCAACTCCCTCTCCTTCCAGGCCATGGCGTACGCCTCTGAGGATGGCATCCTCACGGAGGCCATGATGGACACACGTGTCCAGGATGCTGTCCTGCAGCACCGACAGAAGATGCAGTGGCTGAAGGTGGAGGGACCCCACCCTGCATCTGCAGGGATCCCACCAGGCTCTGGCACTTGACCGGCCCCCCATCCTGCAAAATCTGTGGGCAGCAGCATGGCAGGGGTCCCCCGTGCCTTCCTCTGCGGGGGCCACTTGGGAGGAACAGTGGTCCCCCCAACTTGTCCGAGCAGGGAGGAGGCAGTGTTGAGGCTGTGCCCTGGGGCAGGGCCCCCAAGCTGCCTGCCTGGTCCAGCTGAACACACACTTGTGCCAATGACCGGGCCCACACCACACAGTGGATCTGGCTGTGGGCAGTGGTGCCAGCTGCTCAAGGACCTGCTGCCCACCTGGAGCTGCAGCTGGGTCTTTTAATCCAAAACCCAATAAAACTCTTTGATTGACCCCTTGCCCAAGTCTCAAGGCTGAAGGAAGGGGGTGGAATGGGTTGTCAGCCGTTTGGTCAGAGGGGACTGAAGAGGCAGAGGCTGGAGCTTTCTGGAGAATTTACTGGCCGGCAGGGTGGGCTTCACAGCGAGGACGTGCCGCGATGCTTCCGTAGGCCCCCTCCATGCCCCCCAGCCGCACACGCCCCATGCACATGCTCCCGTGTGCAGACGGCGGCCGCGCCTCCCCCCAGACGAGGGACAGACGGACAGACAACACTTCACAGGAAACAGACAGCAGCCTTCAATCAGATGTGGCCTCAGGCAGGCGCAGCCCCACCCTGGCCTGTCCCCCAAGGGCCCGACAGGTGGCCCCCAGCACCTCCAGGGCTGGGGAGCCGGGCTCCTGCCCCAAGACCGGCAGCGTCCCCACCCCAGCCCCCACCCGACCCCTTTTATAAAAAGAAGAGGAGACAGCACCTTCTGCTGGACGAGCCCGGCAGCCCAGGCGCCCGGCCAGCCCCAGCCCGGGACACCCTGGGCCCGAGGCCGCAGTCCCGTTCTGCCCGCGGGCGTCCGCGAGGTCCCTTGTCCTCCACACGGCAGCCCGAGAGTCCTGGGCACGGTTCACAGGTGCCGTGGGCTGGGGTGGCCGTTGTGGTAGAGTTTCTGCTTCACGTGCACCATGTTCCCCGCGGGCTCCTCGAAGGGCCTGTGGGGCCGCCGGCCCAGCTCCCGCAGGCTGCACAACTTGGGCAGCCAGGTCCACGAGCCATCTGCGGGGGGACAGGGCGGTCAGGCGCCGGAGGGTGCGGCGTCCCCGCGGCGGGTGCGGCACTCACCGTAGCGCCGGCCGGCCCTCCAGGCGCGCACGGCGCAGTGCAGGACGCCATCCATCCACACCAGGAACCAGCTGATGCAGAAACCCAGCAGCAGTCCCAGCATGAGGTCGATCTCCTGCTTGGTCACACTGTCCGTCACAAAGTAGTTCTCGGAGGCGTCCACCACAGACTGGTCCCCGTCGTACGGGATCACGTAGTGGATGTGGTGCCTGCGGGCGGCAGGGTGGGCTGGCACCTCTGCCCACCTTGGGGCATCCGCAGGGCACCCAGGGCAGGGCGCCTGGGTGCCGCTGGCACGGAGCACCGCAGTTCATCAACGCCCAGGCTGCCAGCCCTGCCCAGCCCCCACTTGCTCCTCAGCTCCCCACCACTTGCTGTCCCATTGTGCAGAGTCGCCTGGGTCCACTTGTGACCCCTGCCGGCCCCACTGTCGCGTCGGAGGCTTGTTTCCATCCCCACCTGGGCTGAGTGAGGATGGACCATGTGCACCCTGCCCCAGGAAAAGGGCTTCCCAACACATGAGTGGTCCCATCAACAGAGCGCTGCAGAGGGGTCCCCAGGCCAGGCCCCAGGCTGTCCCAACACAGGGCTACTCCAGGGAGCCCAAATCCCTGTGGAAGCTGGGAAAGCCTCAGGCAGCTCAGAGTAGGGTGAGGCCAGCCCCACCTGCTCCTTACTCAGCGCTGAACAGGTCCTGGGCCCTCCTTGGTCCAAGTATCACCTGGCTCTGATTACCCAAGGCCTCTGCTGGCCTCTGCCTCCGCACCCTGGCTCAGATCACCAGTGTGCTCAGCCTGTTGGCCTCCAGTGCTTCCAGCTCCCTCCACGAGGGCAGCAGGCAGGCATCTCCTGAGAGGAGCCTGGGCTGCCCGCTCTGGGTGCCTGCAGGTCAAGGCCCAGCCATGACGCTTCTCCCCAGCAGCAGGGCCAGGGTGTGTGGCATTCTCCTGCCATGCGGCTCCTCCTCGCTGCCCCACGCCCGCTCCAAGCTAACGCTGTCTGTCTGCACGTGGGATCCACAGACATACTGAACGCGTGCTGAAAATAGCTCTCCTCCCCAAACCTGCTGCCTCTTCCGTGTGCAGTGAGCTGCAGTGGCACCTACGCCCCCACTCAGAGAGACCGTGCCCCCCAGGAAACCCCAACTGGACCCTTGGTGCTGACTTGGTGCCATCCTGGGGTCCTTGTGGCCCAGTCAAAGCCAGCAGGGCAGGGAAGGGGTTGCCCAGCATTGGCTCTCTGCCCTCCCCAGGGCTTGTGCAGTGTGGCAGGCTTGGTGAACATGGCTTTGGCTGCCAGCCTTGGCCATAGAGTAACCACGACTGACACCAGGTAGTTGCTACTTACCCGTCCTAAGTTCAATAGCCATTAGCCACCATTAGGGCAGAAAAAAATAGTACATATTCTTTGTTGGTTCTCAAGACCATGCTCCTTGAACTTGCAGCCCCCAGCCCCTCACAGGCCTGCATCCCCACCCAGCTCATCTACTGGTCATCTATGGCTATACCAGCCCCAGGAGAAGAAGGGCTTCCCAACGCATTAGCGGTCCCACTGGCAGAGCGCTGCTGAGCCCAAACCCCTGTGGAAGCTGGGAGCACCTCAGGCTGCTGGAGGCCAGCCCCACCTGCTCCCTACTCAGGACTTCCAGGTCAAAGGTCATGACCTGTGCACGCCTCCACTGGCCTGGTCACTGAAGCTCTTCACCTGAGCCTGGCCTCCTCTTACCTCCAAGTCTGGCCTCTGGGGCTGGCTAGGAGGTCAGCTCTCCTAGAAACAAGTAGGATATACTATGTGCCCATGTCTGATGGGGACACACGTGTCCCACCTATGCCACACATGCCACATGTCCACCTGAGGCCTATGCATGTTGTGTATACACGCCAGCCACATGCACAGGACACAGCATGTATACTGTGGACACAGGCCCAAGGCCCACACCCATACACTGCACACGCTCCCGGCATGAGCATGGCGTGTGTCACACATGGATGCACATGCTCAGGCCTGCACACTGGCCTTTCTGAGGTCGAGTCCTGTGCATGTATGTGTGCACAGTCATGGATGCTGCCGCTGACACGCAGTCTTCCAGATCTATATGCAACTCCACGTGTAGGCACGTACAAGGCACACACATGTGCACACTGCACGCGTGGGTACGAGTAGACTGTCGTAGCAACATGTGTACGTGGTGTATTCAGATACCCCACGTGCAACCCCGTGATGCAGCCGGAGCACCCACATGGAGACATTCCCACACATTCCCCTGCACGCTCCACTGTATATTGTCCCATATACATGTCCTTGCACATACATGTATGCTGTCAATATACAAGTCTTTGTATGATGAAACCCTGTATGCAGAAATGTGTACAAAGCACATACATGGAGACACACATGCAGGAACACTGCAGCGCGTGCTGCTCTCATGTTCCTGCACACACAGGCCTCACCTGAGCCCTGACTCCACAGGTGCCTGTTCTATGTGAGGTGCACACACGCCTGCACACACACGCTCTGAAAAGCTCCCTCCGCCTGCCAGGGGAGCCTGCAATTGCTGTCAGACCCACACTGGTCACATTAGAGCAGCTGCACATGTGATGTGTGCGTGCCTCACATTCATGCGCTGAGTGTGGGCCCAGTGTGCCCGTAGGATGGGGAGGGGACTCAGGCTATCAGCCAGGGTCAAACCACCCTGGGCCGGGACGGAAAGGCCTCGGAGGGGACTCCCCCACTCTGCCCAGGGTGAGACTCGCACAGCCTCACCTGCTCTAGCACCTGTGTTCTGGAACACGTGTGTCTGTAACCCAGGCATGTGACATGAGACACACAGCTGCCCCGAAGCTTACACACCTGGGCCCTCACGTGTGCGCACAGCCTGAAGTGGCAGTGCTGGGCGGGGATGGGAGCCAGCCTAGCTTAGCTGCGTGACCTTGGGCAAGTCTGTTCTCTAGAGCTTCCGTCCACTGTCCAGCAAGGACAACAGTCAACGCAGACCACACGGTGGGGCTCATGCTGCCTGAGGGCCTCTGTGGGATGAGCACGTGCCTGTGTGCGCGTGGGGTGTGTTTGCACATGTATATGCACAGACGGTACACACATGCGCGGCTCATGAGAAGATGTTTATTTCGTACATGGACGTACAGACATGCATGGCCAGGGAGACAGGAGATCGCTGGTGGGTGTGGCGGGTGCGCTGTGACCTTGAACGAGCCAGCCCCACTCCTGCCTCAGTTCCTCCTCTACACTGAGGGTCCTGCGAGGCACCCTCCAGGTAGGTGCTCCCAGCCCCACGACCAGTGCCTGCCCAACCTGGGCGACGGCGAGGCCACGCACGCACGGAAGCCCCAACAGATTCCGTTGCCCCAGGCATGACCCTGCCGGGCCGGGCCCTCCAGGGACCACCACCTGCGCTGCCGACCTCAGGCCTCCAGGCCTGGGACCTGGAGTCTCTGCCACCACCTGGAGGGCCCCCCTCGAAAGTCACGGGGCTTCCGGACTCGGCAGGCCTCTGTCCCCAGACACCCCTCCCCCAGCGCCTGGCTCCAGGCGCCCGGGTCTAGCGCGGCCCTGCGGCCCAGGCCGCACAGCCCGCCGCTCTTGTGTGATCACGCGTGTCGAGCCCGGCGCCGGGGCGCACTCACCGGCCACAGTTGCAGTGGCAGACGCGGTCCTCGCCCCGCAGGTGCGGGAGGATGTAGTTGTGGAAGCGGTCCAGCAGCGCGTTCATGTCCATCAAGCACGCGATGGCCTAGAAGAGCCCATGACCGGTCAGGGGAGAGGTGGGCCGGCTGGAGGGGCCGGGATCGCGAGGGAGCGCGGGCCCGAGGGCGGGACGCGGGCGCGGGGAGGGCAGCGCGAGGCGCGGGGACGGGGCGCGG